GATAAGGACTATCTATTTCAAGTGGTTTCCTGCGAAGTCAACAGGGCTGAGTTTCTCTGAGAGGTCATAAGAATCATCTGGAATTCCCAAGTGTGTCTAGTCAAACCTGCATCCCCTATCACAACACGGCCAGCTTTGTTACTTCAAGATCCCATCAGGTACATAAGCCCTAAAGCAGACATCAGAAGCCCAAAGAACATAAGCACATATTTAACTTTGAACTAAAGGATTCCTTTAGATGTCAGTTTTATTACCCCTGTGCTTAAAGCTAGGCACATGTCTTTTGTGGATCCTAACAGCATCAATAATTTACATTGTGGAAGCAGCTAGAGGCCCCATTTATGTTGAGATTGTTGTACAAACAAAATAATTGACAGTCTCTGCCCTAAAAATCTTTCAGTCTGGAAAGTGAATCTGCAATTCCCTTTGTAGCTTGCTTTTCCCAGATTTATTTTTCTCTCATATTTAATCCAATTTAAACACTTCCATGCAGCAACATCAGCATGTTATTTTTAAATTCAGCTTTTACTGACTAATGAGAAAAAGTGACCCTCATCTTTTTTGTTGAAGAGCAGAGGCAGCTAGGCCCAAATGCTGGAAGATTTAGTGTAGAGCAACCAGTAATTTGGAGGCACAAACTGAGACACGAGCCATGAATTAAGATGCTTCTGAAATATTTTGTGAGCTTTCAGCACTACCACAGGCTTCTCATCAGATCAGCTGTTTGCCAGCCAAGACAGTAAAAATGCACCCCTCAGATTAATTCTTCCCCAAGAATTTGGGTTTAAACCACACAGGATGCTTTGCTGACTGTATTTGGCTACACAGGAATTGGTATCAGCCTTCTTGCAATGTGGAACAGATGCAAAAGCAACAAGCAGAACAAAGCTGCTGGGTTTCCATTTTCACTTTGAGATGGTCTCATGCTATTCTATTTGCTGTTTCTTTGCAGTTCTAATCCCATACAGAGCAGGTCCTGGAGACAGAGCATCTCTCAAGATCAGGTGTCTTGCTGCAGTCTGAGTGTTTATGTGTACAATTGTCATGAGGTGTCCTCGCTCACTTCTCTTCCCGTAAGGGAAGCACCCTCCTCTGCAAAAAAACTGATTCTCATTTTCCACAACTGCTGTGCAACTGCTCTGGACTGTCACTTGTCCAATTTTACAACATGAAGCCTGAAACTGCATCCTGTGGCCCAGTCAGTGCTGAAGAAAGTGGAAAATTTAATGTCTGGCTAGTTTTTATTTAGTTTTTTTAAGTACACACCACATTATCTGCAGTACAGTCGAGCAGATTCCTTTAGCACAATGTTGCCCCACTGACTCATAGTCAATTTATCATCCTCTAAAATCCCCCAATTCTATTTCATGATAGGAAAATACTGGTTAGAAAACACAAAATTTCCTCTTTTTCAGGAGACTGACAGAACTATTTAAGGGTTTTTATAGTATCTGCTGTTTTCATCACATCCTTAGTGTGCACAAAGTTGACCACATTCAATATTCTTCTTAATTAAGTATCTGTAGCTGTAATATAAGACCCAAAAGCAAGCCAAAATAAAACAATAAATAAACATTTTTATTAGATTTCAGCTTTTCTGTGGAAAGGGACTGGAGTATCCACACATTTGTTACCAGTTTCCAGACATTCCCCTGTGTTAAATCTACGCTCTCCCAGGCAGACACAGATGCCATCTCCAAAAAGGAACACCCCAATCAGCACAAGGAGATGAGAAGAAGCCCTTGCTGCTTTTATTATAAGCAAGCATTTCAGTAGCATCCAGAGGTTCCAGCAAGGCCTTCAAAAGCAAGACACAACTCACCTGTAACATCTCTGCCGAGCCTCATAGGGTCAGGTTTAGCCTCCAAAGGTCTCTGTTGAAGAGCAGCAGTAAAATCAGCACTAGTCCCAGCCCAGACACCTAGGAGAGCAGCTGAGATTGCCTCTGACACAGGCAAGATTCATTTTATAAAGTACTAAATTAAAGACATGAAACCATTTCTTTAGGGAAAGGAGGGGAGCACCAAGCCACACTCCCAATCTCACTATCTTCTACCCCTCAAAGCTGCCACCCAGCCCACACAGTTGTCCTTTTTGAATTTTTCTTTCTCAGCCCAAGCAGAAGCTGACTTTGCAGCTTTCTCAGCTTGCCCTGTTCCAGTGAAGGCTCTTGGAAAGTCCCAGCTGATCTGAGGACCAGAACCACTCTGTGCACCTGGCTCAGAGCTGATGGAGAACAGCTGGAGTTCTAGAGATGCCCATTTCCAGCTCAGGTGCTCCCTCAGCAGCTGATCCCATCCACCTGGAGTGACTGGTGGCAGCTGTCCCTTCTTCCAGACACGCTTGGCCAGGAGCTCTCACATGCTGTCCTCTTCAGTGATGCTTTGCTCCAAAGTTGGGGTACAATGGCACTGTGACCCAAGCACAAACCCTGGCACAGAGGAGACACCATGGATCTTGCTCCCTGGGGGCTCTCTCTGTGCTTTTCCTGTTTCTCCATGAAGCCACCATCAAGCACCCTTTCCCTTTATGCTCTTCCATCTTTTTGGGACTTCTGAAAATCAGCTGTTCTTTTAATTTAGACCTCAGCCCAGTAGGCCAGAAATAAGCAATATTCCTATTTCCATAAAAGACTCCTCCTCAGTGATAAGGGTAATAACAACAACAACAACAACAACAATAATAATAACACTGAATCACAACAAACAAAAAACAGGATTCCAAAACAAAAATCCACATTTGTTGCTGATTCTGGAGTAAGGGTTTGAAGCCTATTTCCTTAGTTCCTACAGTTATTTGATTTAGACTTTTGGTCCACTTCACCCTGTTGGCATATATTAAATTGTGAGAGCTGAATATGTTTTTAGGTCTTTTATCATATCAACTAGGGGTGTAAGTAGTTATCTTGTGGAATTTGTCTGTGGGGCAGAGAAAGCAAGCTCTTCTTTAAGTTTGAGCAAGCTCTTCTCTCACAAAAAGATTCCTTTCTCTTTTATATTTTCTACTGGATTGTATTTAATAGAAAATATTAGAAACCGTACTGTATTCAGGAGAAAATCCTTCCATTGTTATCTCCTTCTTCAGGGTGGGCAACCCTCTGACAGATCTGTTTCAAGCAGAGCACTGAGGTGCTACACTGGAATGATTTGATTTCTACCTTCCTGAGATCATCTTTCTAAGAAGAAGCCACACATGTGCCTCTGGTTTACTGAAGAGCAATGCAAGCGATGGAGAAGATCCAAAGACAGCCAACAGCATTAAGAAGACTTCCCTCAAACTGACTGGGTCTGGATCACACCCAAAGACAGTTGGTCTGAAGAGAAAGAAAAGAAGAGCAGAATTTGAGTATTCCTTAAAGTGTCAGAGACATAAGCAAGGTTGCATGCAATAGAAATAAGGAAAGGCTGGCTGATAGAGATAGTGCAGCGGTTTCCCTACAAGCTTTTCTTTGTTCCTATGATTTAGGACAAGCCAATTTCTGACAGATTAGCCAAGGACCCATTTTCCTTTCAGGAGAAACTGTGGTGAGCATCAGTAAAGGCTAAATATACCACAGTGCAGAACAACTCTGCTGCTTGAGGTAAGAGCCTCCAGCAAGGAGCCCGAGCCAGCTGGTCTGAGCAGGGACAGGCACACAGGCTCTGCTGCCAGACACGCAGCTCTATTTGCAGTACACAGGCACCTGTAGTACCAGACAAGGGCTACAATGAAATTTCTCTCACCCAAATGCTGATCAAAGAGCACTGAGATATTCCAAGCCAAGGTAATGATAATCCAGCAATGTGTTCCCACTCTTGGTACAGAGGTACTAACCCTAAAACAATCAAAACTAGCAAAAGGACATTGGGAAATGACCCAAAGTTACACTAAAAGAGGGTCAGGTTGGATATTAGGAAAAATTTCTTTACTTAAAGGATTGTCAAGCATTGGAAGGCTCCCCAGAGAAGTGATGGAATTACCACCCCTGGGTAGACATGGAACATCATGATATGGTTTACTGGGCATGGTAGTGCTCTGTCAAAGGTTGGACTTGATGATCTTGGGGGTCTTCTCCAACCTTAATAATGCTATAATTTTACAATTATTGCTGCTGCTCTACAGACCAACAGATACAGACCCCTAAGAAATCCCATAGCTCTTTTAGAAGGATGAATACAAAGTTATGATAAAATTCACGTTTTTAAAAGATTTTGTGCTGCCTACATACATCTTTGCCATTGATATCCCCTACAAAAACCCAAGACATTCCTCATCCTTGGTGTTGGCTGCATATGTGCAGAAGGAAAGCATCAACCAATTACTGTTTATAAAATGTTTTTTATTCTGAAAAAAACTGTAACTACCTCTATAAAGATACCACACCACTAAAGTTTTTGCTGGATTCAAATGATTGATGAATTTTCAGGTCAAAAAAAATGTCACTTTGAATCAAATAAGTCAAAACTGGGCACAAGAGAGGCCAGAGAATTTCCTGCAGCAGGTTTCATAAGCAGATTAAAACCTGTGGCTACATCTTAAAATCATAGAATTCTTTAGAGGGTGGAAAAGACCTCTAAGACTATTGAGTCCAATTGTTAACTCAGCACGTCCAAGTCCACCACAAAACCTTGTCCCTAAAGTGCAATATCTACACATCTTTTAAGTCTCCCTAGGGATTGTGACTTCACCAATTCCCTGGGCAGCCTGATGCTTGAACACCCTTTCAGTGAAAAAAATTAATAAACTATTCCTAATATTCAATTTAAACCTCCTCTGGCACAATATAAGTTCATTTTCTCTTGTCCTATTACTTCTTACTTAGGTGAAGACACTGACCCCCACCTGGCTACAACTTCCTTGCACAGAGTTGCAGAGAGTGCCAAGGTCTCTCCTGAGCCTCCTTTTCTTCAGATTTAACACCCCCAGCTCCTTCAGCTGCTCCTCACAGGACTTGTGCTCCAGCCCCTTCCCCAGCTCCATTGCCCTTCTCTGGACACACTCCAGCCCCTCAGTGTCTTTCTTGCAGTGAGGGGCCCAAAACTGAATACAGGATTGTCCCCCCAGCACAGGGGGACAATCACTGCCCTGGCCCTGCTAGCCACACTCTTTTGGATGCAGACCAGGTACCACTGGCTTTCTTGGCCACCTGGGCACACTGGCACATATTCAGCCACTGCTGCTCAGAGGTCCTTTTCCTCTGGGCAGCTTTCCAGCCCCTCTGCCCCTCCCCTGTGTCACTGCAGGGGTTGTTGTGACCCAGGTGCAGACCTGGCACTCGGCCTTGTTGAACCTCATACAATTGGCCTTGGCCCATCAACCCAGCCTGTTCAGATCCCTTTGCAGAGCCCTCCAACCCTCTGGCAGATCAACAGTCCCATCCAGATTCCTGCTGCCCACAAATTGACTGGGTGCCCTCGATCCCCTCATCAATATCATTGATAAAGAGATTAAACAGAGCTGGCCCCAATACTGAGCCCTGAGGAACACCACTGCTGACTGGCTGCCAGCTGAATTTAACAAAATTTGTTTGTGGCAACAGAGGTAGCAAACAAAAAAAGGAGTGTTTGTTTTTTTCCCAGAGAAAGAAGGGCTGATACCTGAAAGAGTTTCAGCACAAATCTCTCAGTGATTTTAGTAATGATAAACATTTCAAGATCCCTTTACTAAGTTTTCACTTAGGGAACATATATCTGTTCTGCCTGTCCTATCTGTTACTGTTTAGGGCAGAAGGTTTTTATCCTCCTTCTTCTTCCCTGGCCCAAAACCACAAAATGGCTTTTCCTGGAATGGTTCAATTGCATGTAACTATAAATTAAAGATGAGCTATCTATACTGAAGTCCTGTTCAAGACCCACATCAAAACAGTTCTGTCCCACATTTACAAAATGTATATTTACTTCATGCTAAGAAAACTGACATTTGCAAGTGGCTGTGTGCTTTGTGCTTCAGTGAAAAAACAAGCTTTAGCTGTGGTTTGTGAAAGGTGGGCTTCTCTCACCAGAGGCACATACTTTCCCAGGAAAGGAAGCACTGGTCTCATTACGATCCAGTAGAGGATGAATTGCCCTGCTAAGAGGAATGTTTTGCAAGTTTGGTATCTAAATAATGCAGAAAAAACCAGAACACTCAAAATATTAAGACCTACCATTCATATACAAGTTTAACCTGGAGGCTGAAGCATGGCAGGTAGGAAAAAATTAAAAGCATTTCAAAGTGCCAGGCAAAACTCTGAATGTATCTTCCCACAGTGACATCTGCCCACTCCTTACCATAATGGAAAGTGTGTCTCAATTGTATCAGTATTTTCCCCCTGACCTCTATGCCTACATATCAAACATTATAGGAAAAAGTAATGCAAATAAACATACTGAAAATGAAATGCAGAACTCTTAAAATCAATGGCAGTTTTGCCACTGGTTTCAGCAGAGCCAGATTTCACACACAGATAACAAAGCAGGTCATCGATGTCCATGTCAGATCACTTCCTGACTCTATGAATGGAAGCTCCTCTTGGCAAAGGGAGCTTGGCTTTTACCTTTCTAAAGTCCTAATTCAACACAGTACTTAAAGCCCTTGAAAGAGAGATTATTCAGTGTTACACTAAGTAAGCACTTATCCAACTGCAAGCTGAGTTTGTAGCTTCAGAGAAAACACACAAGTGAAAATGGACATATCCTCGCTGGGAGCATGGCAGGACTGAGTTCCCCCTAACCCTTGTTCTCCAATGCATTGTTTTCTGGTATTTGAGTGACTGAAAAAAACATTTTCCCAGTTTGGGGAAAAGTGGCATTTCTGCATCCTAGACAACAAAGGACTAAAGGAGGAAGTATCTCCAGGCTCTTGCTGAGTATCACATTTCTGTCAGGGGTGGTACCCTCAAAGCTCAGCAGCAGTCCTCAGGAAAATTCTCTGAAACCCAAGGCTTGCAAGGTACCACCAGAGGCCAGGTGAGGTACAGAGTGGCATTATCCAGTCTTGATCATTCTTCCCATGCTGAAGCAGCCATCAGCTATTCAGTCTCCGAGGATACGTGATCTAAGTCTCCACAACAGCCTTAAAACCTGGTCTCTCCATAAAGCCCATCCACCTGGAAAAAAAGGGGGGAAAAAGTCCATAAAAACACACTTCTGGTTGAAAGCACCTTCCTGCATAAGATAGCACATATTCTACATTTTGAGGTCAGGTGGTACAGAAAGGGTTAACCAACATTCAACGAATGGGCAAACTGTTCTTTTTCAGTATTTCCAGTTTTAGAAAGTCCCAGTCAGTTCTCTGGATAGACCACATTTTTAAAGAAAATGGGCCAGAAAGTCCTCTACAGATGAGTCACGCTGACAATATCAGAGCAGAACAACAAAATTGTTGTCCTATCAAGGCTAAGCCAAAAATAGTTGTTTTCATAAGCCTTTCACCTGATTCTCATTTCTCATTTGCACTGAGGTCCAGAGGGGATGGGAGAACCAGTTTACCACTAAACTCTTTCAAAGTGTAGCAGAAGTACATTACTGAAAAGTATGTAACAAATGAGATTGGTGGCAAATTACTCTAATATTGGCAGAAGCAGTGACTGTGACCTTAGAAGCTAGTGGGCAGGTTATGGTATCATTCTAGGTTTCTGCCTCTCTAATAAAATCTTTGTGCATCCTAAGTATTCTTCTTTTCATATAAATACTCTATCACTTGTTTATGAGTATATGAGAAATGTAGGCCTACTCTGGTTATTATTGCTGACCCCAGCAGTCACATAGCTCTTGAAATGAAAGTCTATAATGACTGCAAAATCATTTTCAATCATCTTTTTATTTCCAGCATTTAATGCTTATACAGGCCTTTCATAAAGAGCACAATCCACATCCCCTGTCTTGGAGGGACATAAGAGCATGCTACAAGTAATGTACGTAGGACAAAACTTAGTTATGTCCTCACAGCCTGGGTATCTTTTTATCACCCTCACCTCCAGACTCATCTGTGCTGAGTTAAGCTGTGTGCTCAACCAAGAGAAAACTGTGTCCTGTCATGGCAGAGCTGTTTGACCTAAATTCAAAGTGGGCCATAGTTTTAGATGCCTGAATTAAGACGTGATAAAAGGAGCACATTTTCAAAAGTATTAAATATCTGCCCATAAAGAGAGACATAAATAGAGAAATAAATAAAATTTTAAAAATCCCAACAATTCTTTTTCAGATAGAACACTAGCAAAAAAACAAGAACACTAAAGCCTATATTAAGTCTCTGACATGAAAAACCTTCAGTAAGCCACACAAAACTCAAAGATGTCAGAAAAACAGTACAGTAACTGCCTGGCATAGAGAAATCAAAGTCTTCAAAACTGCTGTGGAGAAGATGGCAGAGCTCAGAAGTTGAATATTTCAAGTGGTTACACATATCCCTCCCTGGAAGCTGGCAGCTAACCCTGTACACATTTTTTAAAAACCATTATGGAAGTTGTCACGTTCTGTGACATGTTGATCAAGGTTCCCGACCAAGCAAGGGGCTTTACTTAACCTCAGACCTGCTTTTGAGTTGTGCACACATCCCAGCACAAACACACAAACACAGTCAACAGACCTGCAGTGTCATGGAGCCAACGATGTTCTTTCACAGCACCAGGCTGGGAGAGGGGGCCAGGAGCTCTTGGCAGAGCTCAGACCTCCCAGCCTGAGAGGAGGCACTCGGGTTGCTCAGTGCACATTTGGGAACACGACAAGAGCTTTGTAACTCCCCCTGAAAGGATCCCCTGCACCCACCCCGGGGAGCATAACAAAGGGATGGGGGGTGAGAGGATGCAAGGCAGGGAGAGGGGGCATTTTTTCCCCCAGCCCCTCGATCCATCACAGCACCTTTATTCTCAGCACTTTAGGGCTACTCATTTATTCACATGGTTCTTCACTTTACCATCCTGCAAACATTGCAAACACTCAGGCAGCTCCACTAACCAGAGTGTTCAGCTACAGCCCAGCACCTCAGTCAAGCTGCATGTCTCTTCAGGTCTAGTTTTATTAAAAAGCGGGAGATTCAAAAAAACTGAATGAATACAGAAATAGGTTCAAGGAACATTCAGGACAGAGAGAGAACCATCCTATACACTAAGCCCTCTATGATACCAAAATAATCCCTGTTGCCTCCTTCTTTGTTTAGACCATGTGTATTATGCTCATGGGACTCTATTTCAACAGGACATGAAGATACATCAGTGTGGTACAAACAGACAGGACCAAGGTCCACCTTCTACTTTTCAAGCCAGGCACATTTCTTAGCTTAGTGTCTTAGCCAACGACATGCCAGCTCCTCTGGAGATAACCCATCATGTTGGTGTAGACAAGCAGAGTGCTGTTGATCTCTTGGCTGATCAACCAGGCTACCTTCTATGGTGAGACAACTGTACAAGTTAAAGAAGTTTTAATTCCCATTTATTTGACACTTGTATGATTGCATCTAGAGCACTGTGTTCAATTTTGGGCTCCCCAGTACAGGCAACGCATTGAAATAATGGGCAAAAATACATTTAATCTATAATTCATCTGTGATGGATTGCAGTACTGCTGGTTTATGAAGGATGAGCCTTACAGCATTGAATCAGATCAATTTCAGCTGGAATTTTAAGGGCAGAAAAACAGTATTTTTTCAACAACAAGCATGACCAGTTTGACTACAGTGGATGCCTTTTAATATTCCTAATAATAAAACAGACACTAGTAGAGATGTGTACAGACATAGCTCAGACACTACCATGTGACAAGCAAAACACTGCACATCAGGTTGCATACTATTTAATAGTCCCATATTTTTGAGCTGTCTTTCCTTCTGTGCTTCTTCCTCTTCTCACAAATAGGAAGATAAACCACACTTTCTAATTGTAACATCAGTGATCTATGAATCTCCTACAGTTTGTCTGTAGACCAAACAAAATTCCTCCTGTCATTTAACATTTCTTCCACATTATTTTATGTCTGCTATCTGAAGTCCAAGGGTTTCTTCCCTTCCTTGCCATGTGAGAGCAGTAATAGAAATCCAGCAAGTACAGGATTTTCAAGAGACAGTATCTGAAAGCAGTATTTGAAAGTTTAATAGAAATTGCAAAATTCACATATTTTCTACCTCACCACTGAGGCTCCTGTATTCCAAAACCTTCATCTTGTCCATACATGTAAATAAGACAAGTTGGTTCCATCCCTTGGCACTGGAATCAACTACTCAACTACCCAACTGCTCATATCCAGACAGCCAAGCCCTTTCACATCCCCAGAACAAGGTGTCTGCTGCCTAATTACTACTGGTGATGGCCTCTGGCCAGTGTGCATCCACAGATGGTGCCCAGGCACTGTCTGGAGAAGCTCGAGCTGGGGCTGGAGCTGTGCTACCAGCTTACAGAATGGACAGGTATACACCAGTGCCCAGGGTTATGTCTTGTCCCTGTTTAACCTGCTGGGATAAACCTGGCCACAACCTCCTTCAGCTCTTGCATTTGCAGACCTTTCCTCTCTCTCTTGGTCATCACAGAAGACCAGCATCTGCTAAGGCAAAGCTCAACTGCACTTCAAGAATTTTGTCAGCAAGGGCTGGAAAACAGCTGGTCAATACATAAACTTTTCAAATTTATTGTAATTATTTATCACACCTGGCTGTTTAAGGTGTCTTTAAGAGGCTATGATGACTGTTATTTTTTCAAGGAGCAGACTGGTAGTCAGATGGGGAGGAATAGGGGGTAAAACTTTAAGTACGTGTCAAGTTCTGGAAATAAAATGTTAGACAGGAGGTGACAGATCAAATACTGCATGTCTGTCACTTACAATCTGGTCTCTACAGCTGCAAAAGACAACGCTCTTATTTTAAGGTCATTTTTCCACACCCTTCTAGAGTATCTTTGCACAACTTGATTGAGACACATGCCTGCGGGGCCACCTTGTACACAGTGGCCCTGCCTGCCATTTATCACCGTGCTGGAAGTGCTCATGAATTACTCTCCACATATACTGGTTTATTTAGAGATAATTTGAGTTGCTGCTTGTGTGAACAGAACCTTTCATTGAAAACATGCAAGGAGCCAGACAGAGAGAAGGAGGGCTTGTGGGAGGGCATGACAAAGTGCTTCAAGGAAATGACACCCCAAACTGCTCCACCCCTGCAAAGCCAGCAGGTAGCCCACAGCATGGAGGAAACAGCAGTGCAAACAGCTGCCATTTCTTGCTCAGCCAAAACCAGGCATTCTGCATGTTTATTTAGACTCAGCTGACTATTAATGTGTACACACATAACACTGACCACGGGTGTTGCAATGACATGTTTCAATGTTCCAATGGAATCTTGTTTTCTATTGACCCTTTACAGACAGACCAGAAACAGGTAATCAAAAAATTAGGAATAAAAGAACACTTTCCTTAACATCTTGAAATAACTTGAGGTTGGTATTTACAGAGTCTGGGTGGATGCTGGGTTTCCACTCTTCTAAAGGGAAGACACACAGCTACCTGCTCTGTGAATATAAGTAACAGTGCTAAGCAAAGCCATGTCAATTGCTTTACAATTACAATTGTAATTACAATTACACCTTAACATTTGAATCCATGGGTGCAGAAGAAGGACACCCGTGTGCAGCTGAGTGTTAACAAATCACTGACAAGGAGGATAGTCCCATTCAGAGGCCTCACATGAACCTTCCTGGTCTTTCAACAACTTCCTATTCAACCCTTGCTATCCTCCTCTTGCTCTTCTCAGAAGCCAGGCTGTGAGCCCCCAACAGTTGATATATGAAGGACTTGGGCACTTGTTGAGCTGGAGCAGAAAAACCCATCCTTTGGCAGTGGAAAGAAGGTATTTCCTATTTATTGTGGTGATTATTAAAATGTAAAACTCAGGTATCAATACAACTACTATAGTATCGATGGATAACTCCTAATATTTCAAAATTGGAAAGTCTGAATTAAAAATGTGTATCTTGTTTTGGAACATGAAAGAAGCAGACAAGTCTGAGAGCGCATGTTGCTGTATTTTGGGGTAATCATGCCAAATAACTGCATTGACCAAACAATGTATATGTGGATATATATAATTATTTATATCAATGTAAGACCAAAAACTAGGCAGCTT